TGAACGCAGGTCCTCTTGACTCCAAAGCTGGAGCTCTATCCACTGTGCCACCTAGCTGCCCGTTATGCCCTTTTTGAGCCAATTCCAATGAGAGTAAGGTTCAAGTGCTCTCTCCCATCTTCCTCTCCACTGTAAAAGCTCTTTTGTGCCTCTTTTATGTGAGATAATTTACCCTTTTCTACCTCTCCCTTCCCTTTCTCCCAATGCATTCCTATTTCTCACCCCTTAATTTACTTTTTAAATATCATCCTATCAAAGCTCATACCTGTGCCCTCTGTCTGTGAATACTCATAACTGCCCTAATAATAATAAAATTCTTAGGAATTACAAGATCATCTTCTCATATAAACAGTTTAACTTTATTGGATCCCTTATGATTTCTCTCCTATTTACCTTTTTATGCTTCTCTTGAGTCTTATAATTGAAAGTAAAATTTTCTGTTCAGCTCTATCTTTTCATCAGGAGTGATCTCTATTTCATTAAATGTCCATTTTTTCTGAGAAGTGATTCTTGATTGTAATCCCAGGTCCCTTGCCCTCTGGAATATTATATTCCAAGGCCTCTGATCCTTTAATGTAGAAGCTGCTAAATCTTGTGTTATCCTGACTAAGCTCTATGATATTTGAATTGTTTCTTTCTGGATGCTTACAATATTTTCTTCTTGACCTGGGAACTCTGGAATTTGGCTATAATATTCCTGGGGTTTTTTATTTTAGGATCCCTTTCAGGAGGTGATTGGTAGATTCTTTCAATTTCTATTTTACCCACTGGTTCTAGGATATCAGAGAAATTTTCCTGATTTTGAAAATTTGAAAATTTCTTGAAACATGATGTCAAGGCTCTTTTTTTGATCATGGCTCTCAAACAGTTCAATAATTCTTTAATTATCTTGCCTCGATCTATTTTCCAGGTCAGTTGTTTTTCCAATGAGATACTTCACATTTTCTTCTATTTTTTCATTCTTTTGATTTTGTTTTATTATTTCCTGATGTCTCATGCAGCCATTAGCTTCCACTTGGCCATTTCTAATTTTTAAGGAGTTACTTTCTTGAATGAGCTTTTGTATCTCCTTTTCCATTTGGCCAGTTCTACATTTTAAGGAATTCTTTTCTTCAGTGAATTTTTGTAAATCTTTTTTCATTTGGCCAATCCTACTTTTTAAGGAGTTCTCTTCAGTAGATTTTTGTGCTTCTTTTACTATTTACTATTACCTATTATGTTTTTTAAGGTGTTATTTTCTTCAGTATTATTTTGTGCTTCCTTTACCAAGCTGTTGACTCTTTTTTCATGATTTTTTTCCATGATGCTCATTTCTTTTCCCAATTTTTTCTCTACCTCTTTGATTTTAAAAATCCTCTTTGAGCTCTTCCAGGAATCCTTTTTGGGCCTAAAAACTCATTTTTCTTTGAGGCTTTGAATGTAACTGTTTTGACTTTGTTGTCTTCTTCTGAGTTTGTGTTTTGATCTTCCTGTCACTATAATAATTTTCTACGGTCAGGGTTTTTGTTGTTGTTTGCTCATTTTTCCAGCCTATTTCTTGACTTGTAACTTGATGTTAAAGTTGGATTCTGCTCCTGGGGTGGAGGGGACACTGTCCCAAGTTTCAGGTTTTTTGTGCTGTTGTTTTCATAGGCAGTTCTGGGGATCTGTAAGTTTTCAGTTCTTCCAAGGTGGTATGATCTAAGGAGAGGTGTGTTTACTACTCTCCTGGCCTGTGCTCTGGTCTGTGAGTGACCACAAGCACTTTTTTCTGGCCTAGAACTGTGACCAGAGTCCCTGTACCCTTGTAGACAAAAGCTCTGGTGTGCTAGTGCTCCTTCTCACTCTGGAACTGTGACCCAGGACTGAGACCCGGTCCAAATAGGGGTCCTGCACCGGCAGGGGGAACCATATAATCTCCTTCTGACCAGTTGTCCAATCCCCTTACCATCTGTGATCTCTAGATTCAGTTGTCCCCAGGACCTGCTGCTGGCTTGCCAGGTCTCTGGCATTGCCTGCTCTGGACTGGGCTCAACTCTGACCCCACTCCAACAGACTTTTCTTGCTGACCTTCTAAGTTGTCTTGAGCTGGAAAAATGTTTCACCTTGGTCCTTTTGTGGGTTTTCCTATTCCAGAATTTTTGAGGCATTATTTTAAAGTTGCTTGGAGGAGAATTTGAGAGGCTTTCTAGTAATTTCTTGACTTTCCTTAATAATAATTTCCTCCCTCTAAAATTGGAGGAAACCATAAAGAAAACTGGTAGCCTATACCTGATTCACACCAAAAAGAAGAAACTGGTTTTGTTGACATGTAAGTGGCAGAAACTGTGGGGAGAAATGACCACTCCTTCCTGTAATTAACAATAGAGGAGAGTAAAGCTGGGTATACATCCTTGACTTGAGAGAGCAGATTTCAAAGGATTTGGAAAAAAGGTGATTAGAGGATCCCACGTAGACTTAAGTTTCTATAGTTAAAGTTGCCCAGAAGGAAGTTATTTTATTCTGAATTTAATGAACACCAAAAAAAAAAAAAAAAAGAACATTTCTATATACAAAATAGAAGATAAAAAGAGGCCACAAATCTCTACTATATACAACTTGCTTTTAAAATAAATTCAGCATGTTACTTTCAGTTTGCTTATCTGTATTTCCTTCTGTGCATTTTTAAAAAATGCTTCAGTAACTCTCTCTTTCACCCACACACACTCTCTCTCTCTCTCTCTCTCTCTCTCCCCCTCCCCCCTCCCTGCCCCCCCCAATGCTGTCACTAGTTCTCCAGGAGAAACTGATGACATTCTGAAGATATGAAAAGAAACAATTTCTAATGAGCAGAAAAGGGAAGGAGTTATCTAGAGATCACTGTATGTATAAGAATTATCGAATAACAGATTTTTTTTAAAAAGGCACATACAGAATATTGAAACAAGGGCAGGTAATAGAGAGTGATTTTAAAAGGGCATGGCCTTCAACCACAATTCCAGAGGAATTGTGATGAAATATGCTACCCACCTCCTGAGAGGGACACAGGGTACAGATTGAGGCCTTTTCTGAACTTGGCCAAAATGGAAATCTGTTTTGCTTGATTATTCATGTTGTTATAAGGATGTCCTTTTTCTAGAGGGAGGGGGAGGAGAGGGAGGGAAAATGTATTATCTTTCCCCCTAAGCCCTTCCCCGACTCCTACCTTCTACATTGCTGTAGAGGGCAAACCATTCTCCCAGTTCCTCAGGCTCACAACCTAGGAGTTATTCCCAACTCCTCACTATCTCTCACCCTTCCTTATCCAATCTATTGCCAAGGCCTGTCAATTTCACCTCTGCAACATATCTCAAATACATCAGCTTCTCTCCTCTGATACTGCCACTACTCTGGTGTAGGTCCTCATCACTTCATGCCTGCATTACTGCAATAGCCTGCTAGTGGGTATGCCTGTCTTGAGGTCTCCAATCCATCCTCCATTGAGCCACTAAAGTGATTTTCCTAAAGTGCAGGTCTGACCATCTCACTCCCCTACTCAGTAAACTCCAATGGCTCCCTATTGCCTCCAAGATCAAATAATCAAAGAATGCTCTGTTTGACCTTCAAAGCCCTTCATAACCTAGCTCTTCCTACCTTTGCAGTCTTCTTACATCTTACTCCCCAGTGACATTGGCTTTCTTGCTATTTGTTCCACAAACAAGACACTCCATCTCTTTTCTTTGGGAATTTTCTCTGCCTGTCCTTCATGCCTGGAATGTCCTCCTTCCTCAACTTCACCTACTGACCTCCCTGGCTTTCTTTAAGTCCCAACTGAAATTCCATCTTCTGCAGGATACCTTTTCTAGTCCTTCTAATTCTAGTGCCTTTCCTCTGTTAATTGAGTCTTTTTTCAATTGTGTTTGATTCTTCATGACCCCATTTAAAGTTTTCATGGCAAAGGTACTGAAGTGGTTTGCCATTTCTTTCTCCAGCTCATTTTACAAATGAGGAAACTGAGGCAAACAGAGTTAAGGGACTTGACCAGGGTCACACAGCGAGTAAGTATCTTTGGCCAGATTTGAATTTAGGAAGATGTCTTCCTAAATCCAGGCCCAGCACACTATCCACTACTCCACCTAGCTGCCCATCCTTTGTTAATTATTTCCTGTTTATTCTGTACATAGCTTGCTTTGTATCTATTTGTTCCCTCCCTCATTAGATTGTAAGGTCTTACAAGAGCAGGTATGGTCTTTCAAATCCCCAGTACTTAGTGCAATTCCCAGCACAGAGTAGGAGCTTAATTTGATTTATTGATTGATTTTTGTTAGTTGAAAAAAAATTAAAATGTTTGAAAGCAGCATTATTCCTAAAGGAATGATTAGGATTTAAAGCTTAGGATGAGCTAAGTTACTAGATATACTTTAATGTAATAAAACTAAATTTCTTTTATAATATTGTATAATTTTAAAATTACAGAACATGAAAGTAGATTAAACTGACTTTGACCTATATAGTAATAGTCCACATGGTTCATCATCAGAACCTGATAGGACTTTATCATTGAAAATGACACTAAAGGAGATGAATTACCGTCTGCCTTGCTCTGCTGCACCCTTAAGACCTTTCCATCTGCCTTGCAACTGAAACTTCCTATGTGTTTTATCTCCCCAAACAGAATGTGAGTTCTTTGAGAAAAGTAACTGTCTTCAATTTCTTTCACCAATGACTAGTGTAGTGCTTTGTACATAGTAAGCATGTTTATTAAGTGCTTTTTTATTCATTCATTCATTAGTACAGATCAACGTAGACTTAAGATACATTATGTGTCTAATTTTATTAGGAAAATAAGTTTCCCTTTTTTGGGTATTGTCTTCAAGTGCTATGGTAGCATCTTGCTCAATATCACATGTGGTTTTGAATAGCATTACTTTCAAATAGTAGACACTATACTTCCTCTTAAGATTCATGTATGTTAATTATTAGCTATGAAATATATTAAAACTTTTGTTTTTTTTTAATTTGCATGTATAAATGTATATGAATGGCTCATTTTTTTTTTAAAGTAAGAAAGAATGTGGCTAAAGACATCACTCAAGAGTTGATTGAGTCCATTGATACACAGTCTTCAAGGGAAGAGTTTCTTTCAGATACAGAAAAAATGGAATGTATGAATAATATAAAGAAGAAACTTACTGTCATGTTAACACCAATGAATTCTAAAAAGACACTGGAGCAAAAATGTAAAGATAATAATTTGTCCACTGACACCATGAAAAGAATCTCAGAGCTTGCTTTGCCAAAGCATAAAAATGGTGGCAACAAAGCTGACTTGAGGAAAAATAAAAACAACAGATTTTTAAGGTCTTTAGAAAAGACATTTGGAAGTGGCTTAGTACACAAAACTGAGGATGAGGATGATACTGGCATATATGCTTCAGTCACCATCAACCAGAAAATTAAAATGTCATCACCTCCAAAGGAGCAAAGTTCTACTTCTGACTCTGAGAGAAAAATAAAAAAGTCATTAAGACTAAAGAGAATTGAACCTTCTGGAAATATTTTGTCCCACAAAATTCAAACCAAGGTGACAGAGATCTCTGGTCAAGAAAGTGAAACAGAAGAGGAATCCAGAAAGAAGGCTCAACTTGGCATGAAAACAAGGCAGAAGGAAACCAAGGAAACTGTAATTAACCAGTCAAAATGCAAAAGGAAAGATACTAAGAAAAGCCCAGTAATATTGGAACAAGAAAGTGAAGAGAGCGATAAAGATATTCACTCTAAGACAAAGAAACCTACCTCTTCTTCCAGCAAAACTTCTGTTCGGAAGATTGGTAACCGGAAAAAGTTTTCATCAGCAGAGGTGATGGGATCTAGAAAAATAAAGGATCAGCCTTTGGAGTGCTTTCCAGATTTAATTAAAGAGGATAACTGGACTGAGAAGGAGTTACAGAAATTTCCAGGGTAAGTAGTTTGATTTAATACTTTCCTTTTTTCCTTTTTTTAAATGTTTGTTGAGCCTTTCCCCTAAAATGTTACTTATTTATTTTAAGCAATTGGAGTTAAGTGATTTGCCCAGGGTCACACAGCTAGTAAGTGTCTGAGGCTGGATTTGAGCTCAGGTCTTCCTGACTTCAAGGCCAGTGCTCTATCCACCGCGCCACCTAGCTGCCCCAATATTGGTTCTTTAAATTAAAAAATAATAGAGTGAAAGAAATCCTAAGAGTGAAATTCATTTGTGATAGATTGGTATCTAGAGCTAACTCTTCACACAGTAGTAGATAGATATTTATTTAGAGTACTGTGCCTTGTTCTGGGCACAGAAAGATAACTTTAGGACTACAAAGCTGCTTGATGGGTTGGTTAATTGGATCTGTGAGGAAAATCTTAAAATATCCGATAGAAAAGAAAATGGAAGTTTAATAAATGGTTCTATATATGAACAGGTTTATTATAAGGAAGCATGACTAGCTAGTTCTTTTTTACCACTAAGGAAAACACAAAAGGAATTGATTAAATGGAATGTAGTTAGTTAAGGAAGAGGGTGTAATCGCTTTCTTGAAGCATTTTTACAAAAGGAAGAGAATCAGCTATTTATATAATTTATAAATAGATAAATAGGATTTAGAAAAGTGATGTAATTCTTCAAGTATTGATAGTTCTCATTCATCTTCACGTATTTGAACTTTGGCTACTTTAACATTCTTGATTTAAAAAGCATATATGGCTTTGGACTTCCACAGGGCTTTGTCATCTGTGCCAAAACAAAAACGTGGTTTCCGGTTGAATGTAGCCACCTCTATGGGACCTCGGACTACCGAAGAATCCCAGAAGAAACATACAGAAGAGCACCAAGAAAGAGGTTCTAGGAAACGTGCCATCAAGAAAATGGTACCCGGCTCCAAAGTCTCAAATGGTAACCTTACAGTTCAGTGATAGAGTTTACATGGTCTCAAAAGGGCAGATTACATAGGGTAGCCATTACACAGCTATGAATTTGAGTTTATTTAAAAACTTAACTGTCTAAATGCATATTTAGACATTATTTGCTTCTTTTGATACTTGACTTTTATTTCCCTTATTCCCAATTAAAGCTAAAACATTTTCTGGAAATCTTTGAATTTTGTAACTGGTAGGGACCTTAGAGATTATCTAGTTTCTATGTTCTTTTTAAAGCCTATTTAGTTTGAGTTTTCTCTACAGGACTTTTCATAGCCCCAGTTATATATACTTACCCAGGAAAATGGTAGTTCACAAGTCATCTGAAGGTCTAATCCACTGTTTAGTGTGCCTACAGTCTGTCTGGGATTACTAGAATTTAGACAATAGTTTCTCCCAGTGATAAGAAAATCACCCCTCCCTAGGAATGCTCAAGAAGCTAAGAATTACCTGGATGTTTAAGAAGAGGCAGTATGTATAGAAGTAGATTAGATCCTTGAGATGTCAAGAACTGGCCTCTTTTTGTACGCCCAGCCCTTAGCAGAGTGTCTGACACATAGTAGGCACTCAATAAATATTGATTGATTTATTGATTGGGTATAATGATACTCAAACTTGACCTCATGGCTCTACCAAAATTTAATGTTTTATACCACAGTGAAATCAGTAGCTTAGACATGTAGGTGATCACTTGTTGATTTTTCTGGTGGTAACTAATTATCAACACAATTAATATATCTGCATGTAGCCATTTTCATAATATATATAAGGACTCTATTGATCTTTGTTCCATTTCTATAATGATAATAACAATCATGGTAATTATTTCGTGCTTTACAATTTATAAAGAACTTTACATTCTTCTTGATGATATCTACTTCTTTACTGAAGTCTTGCACAGTCCTTCTTTTCTGCCTTTCAACTCCCTAATTGCAGGCCATAGCATAAGTAGAATACCAACCTTAGATAGAGAATAGTGTATTTAAGGAAGCAGCAAGTCATCAGAATCTGAGTTTACAGTATGTGTATGCAAACTTTAGATTTTATTAAAGTTACTAACTTTCCAGACCAAATAGCATGACTCATCAAATTCTTGACAAAATCTTTGCGTGAATTTAAGGCACAGAAGTTGATACTGATACAAACCAACCTGTAAGGATAACTGCCAGAGTGGGAACTCTAAAAAGAAAACAGCAGATGAGAGATTTCTTAGAACAACTGCCTAAGGATGATCATGATGATATGTTCAGTGGATCGCCTTTGCATAAGCAAAGAATACAGGTAATAATTTTAAACAGGGAATATGGCATTTTAAATTACTTTTAAAACTTTCATTTTTGTATACAATTACAAAATTGTATTTGGCACTATTTAGACAAGAGCAAGGGTTGACAAACTACTGCCCAAGGGTCAGATCTGGGCAGCAGCCTGTTTTTGTATGGCCAGTTAGCTAAAAATGGTTTTTATACTTTTAAATACAACAAAACTTTGTTTTAACATGTAAAAAACATTCTTAACTCTCAAGCTGTACAAAAACAAGCCCCTGGTCAGATTTGGCCTGCAGTCTGCCAGCCACCGGACTAGGGTTTCAAATAAGCAGCAGATATAGCTAAAGCAGATTATTGCAGGCCAAATCTACCATAGCTTGCTAGAATGCATCTAATTGGGAATTGAAGAGAATTATATAAGAGGAGTAATGTTACTATCATCTGTGACTGTAAATCTTTATACACATGTGTGAGGACACATCTCACACACACACACATACACACACACTTTTCCCCCCTACCTGGGCTTACAGGCAGTTTTTACAGTGACCTGCCAGAGATACTAATAGTTTCCTCCCCCCCAATATTGTGCTTCCTTGGGTTGCACCCTCTCATGTATACCTTCATTACCAATTGTCCCTTCCCATATTCTTTGACTTATCAAGAGGAGCTAATACTAAAGGCAGAAGATAATGAAATAAAAAGTGACATTGAGCCTGATGATTTCCTGTGTTCCTGGAGGGGAATGTTCAAGTTTGAAGAGGAAAGGAGCTCTCTTTTTGTCTTGCTAGGTTTTGACCCAAAGATGACTTGTCTTAGCCCCAAAACAAATTCCTAATCCAAAAGTCTTCAACCTTATATGCATCTGACTCATAGAAATGCATGCATTCTTTTGAACAAACCTACAGGTTGGAAAAGTTAACCTGAATAACTAATCCCTTAATAGTCATTTCCCTCAATATAAATCTGCTTATGTGCTAATTTTCCTTGAGCACTTTTTAACCAGAATGTAATATATCCTTTTTACTACAAACCACAGTGTTCCAGAGAGCATATATTTATACACATTGGAAGTACATGCTTGAGGTGAGATACTCTAGGTGTGGATCAGTGCACATACCCTCAGATTCAATTCAGGGCTTGGTTAGTTGTGCAGAACAGCTTTCTATCCCACCTCCTTTCATACCCTACAACTATCTATCTGTCCTATATATCTTCTGCCCTTTGTAGCTAAACTCCTTGAAAAGACTGTCTGCGATAAGTGGCTCCACTTAGTCTCCTCTTACTCTCTTCCATCCTTATCATTCCACCAAAACTGCTCTCCCCAAAGTTACTAATGATCTCTTAATTGCCAAATCCAGTGGTCTTTGCCCAATCCTCATTCTCCTTGACCTCTCTGCAGTTTTTGACGCTGTTGATCACTCTTTCCTTGATACTCTCTTCTCTAGGTTTTCAGGACACCACTCTCCTTCCCCTGGTTCTCCTCCTACCTATCTGACCATTCCTTCTTAGTCTCATTTGTTAGATCCTTCCTGCAGGTCATGCCCTCTAACCATGGGCATCCCTCAGGATTCTGGCCTGGGCCTTCTTCTCTTCTCCCTCTGTACTGCTTCACTTGGTGATCTCATTGGCCTCCATGGAGTTAATTACCATCTCTATGCTGATGATTCTCAAATCTGCCTATCTTATACTAGTCTCTCTGCTAACCTTCAATCTCACATCTCCAGCTCCCTTTAAGACATCTCAAACTGGATGTCCAGTAGACATCTTAAAACTCAACATGTCCAAAACAGAACTCATCATCTTTGCTCCTAAATGCTCCCCCTGCCTCCCCACCTTCTCTTTTACTGTTGAGGGCAACACTGTCCTCCCAGTCCCTCAGGCTCACAAGATAGGAGTCATACCAGACTCTTCTCTGTCTCCCATCCCCCGCATCCAATCTATTGCCAAAGCCTGTCAACTTCACCTTTGTAACACCTGTTGAATACTCCCTATTCTCTCCTCTGACACTGCCACCTAATACCTGGACTATTGCAATACCCTGCTGATGAGTCTCTCCCCATTCCAATCCACCCTCCATTCAGCCGCTGGAGTGATTTTCCTAAAATGCAGATCAGATCAAGTCATAACACACCCCTTCCCTCAATATCAATAAACTCCAGTGGCTCCCTATTGCCTGCAAGATCAAATACAAAAATGCTCTATTTGGCATTCTAAGCCCTTTGTGACCTAATCCCTCCTACCTTTTCAATCTTCTTACACTGTATACCTTGCCATATACCCTTCTGTCCACTGACACTGGCTTTCTGAATGTCCTGTGAACAAGACATTTCATCTCTTGGCTCTGGACGTTTTCTCTGGCCGCTGTCCACTATGCCTAGAAGGCTCTTCCTCCTTAACTCTGCCTGTTGACTTCCCTGGCTTCTTTTAAATCCCAACTAAAATCTCATCTTTTACTGAAAGCCTCCCCCAGCACCTCTTAATTCTAGTGCCTTCCTCTGTTAATTATTTCCTATTTATCCTGTGTATAGGTGGCTTTATATATATATTTGTTTGCACGTCAGATTGTAAGTTTCTTGAGAGCAGAACTGTCTTTTGCCTTTTTGTATCCTTAGGGTTTAGACTGTGACTGGCACATAATAGACACTTAATAAATGTTTTTGATTGATTCATTTTATATTTTTTGTTACAGGGGATAAGCCAAAGGGGGAAGGGGAATGTAAAATAAAGGTAATATACAATCAAAACTGGTAAATACAATTTTATGTATAAAATAAATTTAAATAATACTTCACACAGGTAACTCTTAATTCCAACTGGCATTTACTCAACATTGAGATTATTAGAGTAAGAATAAGATCAAATATTTCACCATGATACCTAAAAGAACAGAAATGAATATTAATCCTTATACTTCAGTAGTTTGGTTGGAACTTTCTATCTATGCAGGTTATAATTCATCCTTGCCTTCATTCATCCCAAGGTATAGGTTGTCTTTGTGGCTTTTCATAAATTCATTGTGGATGCATCAAGCATATCAGAAACCCATTTGACACCCAATCAAAGAGGATGCCCCTTTTAACATCAAAAAATTTCAGGAATCCAGGGGACAAGAGAGTAGGGGAATGATAGAGAGGAGGGCATATTGGGAAAGGGAGTAATCAGAAGCAAATACTTCTGAGGAGGGACAGGGTCAAAAGAAAGAATAAAACAAATGGGGGGGCAGGATAGGATTAAGGGAAATAGAGTTAGTTTTTCATGGCCTGTCTACTATGGAAGTGTTTTGCATAACTGCATATGTATAACCTATATTGAATTGCTTGCCTTTTCAATGAGGGTGGGTGGGGAGGGAGGAAGGGAGAAAATTTGGAACCCAAAGTTTTAAAAACACATGTTTAAAAAAAATGTTCACATGCAACTGGGAAATAAGAAATACAGGAAATGGGGTACAGAAATACATCCTGCCCTACAGGAAAATTGAAGGGGAAGGGGTTAAGAGAAGGGGGGGAGAGATAGAAGGGAAGGCGGACTAGGGAAAGGGGTATTTGGAATGCATGCCATCTTGGGTCGGGGGAGGGGTGAGATGGGGTGAAAATTTGGAACTCAAAATCTTGTGGAAGTAAATGTTGAAAACAAAAAAATAAATAAAAAATTACCAAAAAAAAACAAAAACAAAAAATTTCAGGAATCCCCACATGATAATAATTAACATCAGGTAATTGAAAATATATAATGAAGAACTATTATGAATTCAGTAACTTTTAGATGGTTTATATTTTATAATCACAATAGCATCTACATAAATTTGAAAAATAACATATATAGATGAGAGTAAGCATAGCATAGTGGATAAAGAGTCCAGCCATAGTATGAGGAAGACCTAGTTCAAGCCTACCTCTGATTCATACTGACTTTGGGACCCTTGGCAACTCATTTAACTTTTTAGTACCCTGGGCAGCACTCTTAAGACTGAGTGCAGGTGCTCATCTGCATGGTAGAAGGAGTTCCCTAATTGAGAGTTCCTTGTACCAGTGAAGTTACAGGTTCATTCCTCATTTACATACATACACACACACACACACACTCACTCACCACCACCACCCATATAATTTATATTCAATTTACAGAAGGTTTGTTTTCTGTATTTACTACATTGTTTTTTAATGATCTATACCACTTATAGTAATTTTTCATCTTTTCCCTACCTGCCCCCCAGGCCATATATGCATCCTACGAATTGGGAACCATTCTTCTAGGTATTTTAATATTTCAAAGGTGTGAGGCAACACTCAGGCTATTCTAAATTTTGTTTTTAATTATCAGACGCATTTTCCTCTCCTACTCTTTGTAATCTTTGTCACAAATAAATATAGTCAGGCAAACAAAGGTGCATATTGGCCATATCCAAAAATGCATCTCTAATTCTGCCTGTTAGTCCATTGCCATTGTCAGGAGGTGGGCAGTATTTTTCACCATTGGTCCTCTGGTGTCATGGTTGATCAGAGTTCTCACATCTTCCAAAGTTGTTTGGGGCCATCCTTCCATTGTCTCTTGTTCTCACTATGTGGCCAAGCCACACTGCCTTGTCTGGTCATGTGTGTACTTGCCATTAGTTCTTTATAACTATACTGAGGTAATAAGAAAGGTGTGTGTGAGTCATTATCATTTTCTTTTCTAGTTACCAAATTTTGAAGTCAGTCAGGATGATGATTTCCCACATATGGACAGAGATCCAACAACTCCATCTTCAGTAATTTATCCCTTGGCAAAAACCCCCCAGTGTCAACATGTCAGCCCTGGTATGCTGGAATCTGTTAACAGGTAATATATGTTTGTATAAGGAGTAAGGAATATGTCTTTAAAAACTTTCGAAGTGGAGCAGCTAGATGGCACAGTGGATGGAGCTCCAGCCTTAGAGTCAGGAGGACCTGAGTTCAAATCCAACCTCAGACACTTGACGCTAGCTGTGTGACCCTGGGCAAGTCACTTGACCCTAATTGCCAAAGCAAAAAGAAAAAAATACTTTCAAAGAAAAAAAAAATAGAACAAACAAGGCTCCTCTTTATTCCATAGACAGTTTAAGTAACTTAAGAACATAGAGACATAGGTCAGTTGACAAGACAGAAGTCAGGAAATAAGATTTCTGTCTCCCACATTTGACCTCATCACTAGAGTACTTTTTTTGCTGTTGTAATACCAGTGTTTCTTTGACCAGTTTTGCTTCACTAAGTACCTATGTTACTTGCTTAGGCGTATTTTCTAGTCATGGTGTAAAATAATTTTTTTTAAATGTCAAGACCTATAGTCATCAGAGTTGTCTTCCTTAACAGATTCCTGTTTTTCAGTATACCTTGTGAAACCAGCATCCAAAATTGAATACAGTATTCCAGCTCTTGACTGACCAGTGCAGAGTATAGTGGGATTATTGCACCCCTTGTTCTGGATATTATGTTTTTATTAATAAGAGTATGAGATTACATTAACTTTTTGGTATCCATGTTATATTGGTAAGTTGTTGAGCTTGCAGCCCTCTAATGCCCTCAGTACCAGGTACAATGTCGGGTATATACTATAATCTTGATAAAGGCTTATTGAATGATTGGAACATTTGAGAGATCAAAAGACATTGTCATTTCCTAAAAGTTGCTTTTTGTAAGTCTATGTGCAAGTTGATGCTTTTAAGAATCTGAGTTAAACATTTGGTTTGTGGGCTTAAGAATACTTTGATTTTATAAAAAGAGGGAGAAAATTTTTCTGTAGACCAAAAACAATTTAAAATTCATGTTGATTTAGCAATTACTGTATAACTAATTAGACCTCACGGATTATCTAAGTTCATTTGAAATGCTAATTTGTATTTTTGCAGGAAAGATTGTGATAAATATGTGTTTCAAATGCAAAAGGAGAATAAAAGTTATGGTGGTATGGTATGGGCCAATGTCAAGAAGAAACCGGTAACATTTTTTATTCTTATTATTAATCTGATTTCATTCATTCATCATGTATTATGTGCTATAGGATTCAGAAAGCCCAGCTTCCTTGTGACCATGAGTGACACTCATGACATAGTTGGTTTTTGAAGCCAGTTTGAGACTGGTCAAGCTTCTTTAGCATATCAAAAAAGAAAGCCATAGTCATACTTTAAGAAGCAGACAAAACTCAGGTTTTTCTAAAATCCTTTTTCCATGAGAAATGAAAATTTTTGTTTTTTGATAAGGAAAACAATAAAATGGAAGTTAGGTCTTAGTCCTGGCTTTACTATTGACTCTCACTGTGACCTACAACGTACCACCAACTTGGAAAATCACTTCCTGACCTTTTGCTTTCTCATACAAAATGACAGGGTTAGCCTCACTTAGCTCAAATGGCTTTTCAGGTTCTAAAATGTGATTCTAGAACAACACTGACTACTTATAGACTTTATTTTACCTAAAATGCCTTATAATTACTGAAAGTCTACTAAACCTTGAAGCCTTAGAGTCCATTTTCACATCTCTTGCAAATACTATTTTATATTCGCAAGGCTTTTGATAAACCTAAAAATTGGAAGAGCTAATCTCCAGTGTAATGCTCTATACCAGCAGCTTCTTACTCTTAAGATATTAGCCCTTGATTTGAGATTATTTATTTACTCTTTTTATTCAAACCATCATTAAAATAATAAATTCAGTAAGTTTCTAGTGAATGAAGTTAATGTATTGAAGCTGAATTAAAAACTCTTCTAAGGCACCAGTTAATTTAGTGGATTGAGCAGTTAATACATTCAGAAAACTACTATGAGTTCATGAGTGTGAGTATAATCACTTTTATATTACTTGTTTATCATAGTAAATTTAACAATGTATACTGATTATTAAGATGAAAACCAACTCCTTACAGAGGGAACTATTAAAAATAAAATAAAAAATTAAATAGGCTGCCTCCGGACATAGTAGGTTTTTATGCAAAAGTGTTTTTATGCAAAAAAGCCTTGGCTGGGTATGTGTTAGAGGACATTTCTGTTTGGGTATAAATTGGGTTAGATGGCCTCTGTGGTCCTTTCCAATTCTGATATTTTGTGATTCTTTTTAGGTTGGATCTGATTTTACAACTCCAACATCTAGAAGAACTCAGTTTAATAGAGGTCAGTATAACATTTCATACAGTGTTGTATGAAAGAAGGACTAGATGAGCATTTAGTTCTCCCTTCCTAAGAAGTGAAGAGGTTTTAATATCCTTTAAATAGATATGCTTGAGGCATATATACTTCATGACATCTAACCATGCTTGTGAAATGGCCTTGTGAAAAGAGTGTCAAGCATGCCAGAGATCAGAATAAGTTCAAGCTGACAAGGAAAGTTAAAAATATAAAGGAGTTTTTTGTTCTGTTTTTTACATATGTTGGGAGAAAGTGAGGATTGAAAAAAAAAAAAGGGATAGGACCACGCTCAGGGTTGATGAAATGAATGATAATAGATGAAAGCCACTTAACTTTTACTTTGCTTCTGTTTTCCCTGAGAAGGGGAACGATCTTTAGACTGAAAAGGACAGAAGAAAAATGGATGATAGGGAGTTGATGTTTAAAATAAGTAGGGATATAGAGAGCATCTAGCTACCCTTGGTGACTTGAAGTCTTCAAATTCAGGTGAATTGCATCTCAAGATAGTGAAAAAACTTGAAAATGTGACTCTTGAACTAGTTGGTGAGCTTTGAAAGGTGGTGGAGAAACAGGTACAAGAGAATTTGAGAAGAGCCAAAGTTCTAGTTTTCAAAAAGGAAGGGAACAGAGGCTACAGACTATAGATCACTCAGTAAGTTTGGCTTGGATTCCTGGCAAAATTCTAGATTTTATTATTAAGGGAATGATTAGTGTATGCCTAGGAAGTGATGATCACCAAGAGCTTACATAACTTAACCTTATTGGGTTTTTTTGAGAGTTATTACTAATTTCTGGGCTGTTGAGGCAATCTTGTAGTTTACCTAGATTTCTGCAAAGCATTTGATGGTCTCTCATACTGTTATTCTTGTGGAAAAGATGGTGAGAGAAATGTGGACTACATGGCAAAATGGTTGTTGTCCTCTTGAAGAGGACCAAAATGACATCACTATGTTAGAGTCAAGCCTCTGATTGTCTGATAAGACCAATATGAGCTAAGAATGTTCTACCACAAGTTGGGCACAAATAGTCCATGTGAACATTTGGGGTTGATTCTCTGAATTTTCACATCTTGCATTTCTTTTGAGCTACTTCAATTCTGCTTTGCTCATAGAGCACAGCACCTTTTCTGATGAGGGCATGCCATGCTGCACAGTCCTGTCCCAGTGTCTCCCATGTCACATAATTGTAAAGTTCTTAAGAGAGACCTTGAAAATGTCTTTGTATCGCTTCTTCTGACCACCATGTGAGTGCTTGCCCTGTGTGAGTTCTCCATAAAATAGTCTTTTTGGCCAGCGTACACGTTTAGAAGTGGAAAGGCTGCTGGATGGCCTCTTATTAGGTCTGTTGTCGAGGGGTTTTTGTTCAGCAGGGGGTTGGACTACATGACCTCGGAAGTTCCTTCTAATTCTAAAATCCTTTGATTCTGAGATCGATATTTTTTACTGTTTGTGGCACAGGTCTATAGTACAATCCTGTATTTGGAGTAACCGTAATTTGTTGCTCTAAATTTGACAGATTTGTCATTCTATTTCTTGGAAATGTTGTATTGCCATATTTATTTAAATACTTTCATTTATAAAATGTGTTCATACCATTCCTTAAAACTCTTCTGATCACAGGAATGAAATCTGATATTGGAAAACTCTTCAGTTATACGACAAAACTGAATTTTGATGAAGAAGAACAAGATGATTATTTCTCCAACTCTGATTCTGCAGAGTAAAATCAGAACACACGAATTCCAGCGTTTATTTAACATCATAACACACACTTGTATATAAAGTACAGTGTATTTGTATTAATTTGAAATGTCAATATTTTCTCTGTGAAATTGTTTTACATATGTTTATTTTTTACTTTTCTATTTTAGTGTATAAATTGAGCATTTCTTTCTACTTTCCTTGCTAATATGAAGACATGCAAATCTTACTAAAAATATAAAAAAGGTTTTTTCTTTGTAAATACTTTTTATAAATGATTGTTTATCTGATATTAAAAATATATATATGTATATATAGTTGACAACTCTTCTGCAGTATTGTTCTGTTTACTCTATGAATGAGATGTTTCAAATAGGTATTAGGAAAAAATACATACCTTTAGACCCTGAGTAATTCTCACCAGATGCTGTACAGTGAATTTTTTGTTTGTTTAATAGAAGCCTTTTAATACCAAACATGCCCATGTGTGTATGTATAACTTTCACAGAATGTTGGGTCTAGTTTATACTAACATTGGCTTTTGCCTTTCTGGGATACAACTTTCTTTTACAATTCATTTTTTTTTTTTCAACTTTATGCTGAACTCGAGTGAGGATTTGATACAATCCAAAATAAATTGACAATAGTTACTAGTTTGATACTTGGGCCCAAAGATAATAGCTTTTGTTGCACTCTTAACACTTGTATATTTGACTGTGAAGATGAGTCCCAATGGTAGGTGACTAGAAAAAATTATAAAAAATAACCCCCAAGGCTTTAGGCAAATTTATATTCAGTTAGAATATCATTTGCTATGTTCCAGGTTTAAGTTTGGGCTATGGTTTTCTATTATGTGAACTCATTTCAAATCCCAGCGAGTGTTTTTTCTTCTACTAATGACAGTCTCAAACTAGCTCTTTTGAAACAAGAATTTTTTCATTTATTTTGTTGTTTTATAAATTGGCATAGAGACCATCACCTGCAGTTACAGTCCATATTCACCTGCCTCTAATCCACAACCAGCTTAGCTCTACAAATAAAGCTCTGATGTTTTTGTATTTGTCAGTGTCATTTTGACCTGGCCACCGGGTGGCAGTAGGCTTGATAGCTTGGAGTTGAGGTAGGAAGAACGTGATGGTCCAACAGTTTCCTCTCCTGTGCAGTTTCAAATCAACCAAAAAATCTTCTTTGGTTTTAGTAGAAAAAACAAAGACCTTTTCCCTTCCAAGATCCTCCTTTCCATCATCTTCAAGAAAAAGTTTAGTGAGTAGAAAGGTTGTGGAATTTATAGAAGCCCAGAAGGGGAAGAGTAAGAGAAATGTGATAACTATCCTGTAATATTATTTATTATTCTTTAAAATAGGATGATGGGACTGCCTATAAAGTAAGATATTGAATGAAATCTAGACAAATCTCGAATCAAAAAATAAAAGGACTATGAAAAATCAAAATTTTATAGAAAACTCTAAAGGGAGCTTCCAGATAACTGGTCAGACTTCACAAGATACTCTTGGAAGCCTAGGAACAGATGTGATTTGCCCAAGACCACACAGCCAAATTAGCAGAAGGTTTGGAACCCAGGACTTGTCATTCTTAATCCAGGCTTCTTTTCAGTGTGCCATGCTACCTCCCAGAATAAACTGTATGATTTTAATAAGTGAGTTGAATAAATTCAGGAATTGCAAAGCATTTTTGATGCTGAATTAGTATTGTGTTAGCATCTGAAGGAATGATTTGAAAGATTGGCCAAATTCTCTACATTAACACCAATTTTTAAATGAGTGATTTTGTAGTAATTTAGTCACCACCTCTGAAAGATCAATCCTTGCATAGAATTTAACTAGCCTAATGAACTTTCACAGCTAGCTAGCAGAGGTTTCCAGACATTATGGAATGCATTGTGGCCATTATAGCTGGACCATCCCATTACAGACACATCAAGATCACAACGAAGATTAGTCAATAGAATTTCAAGTTGCAACTTAATTGTAAACTTACAACTCATGGTATACTAATACCTCTGTATGTATCCTCTAAAACCATGCTCTGGGGCCAAGTTAAAAGTGAAAATATGTTCTAATAGGGGGGCGGAGCCAAGATGGCAGAGTAAAACCAGTGACTTGCTTGAGCTTTCCCCCAAACCCCTCCAAATACCTGCAAAAAATGGCTCTAAACAAATTCTAAAGCAGCAGAACCCACAGAACACAGAGTGAAACAAATTTCCAGCTCAAGACAACCTGAATGGTTGATTGGAAAGGTCTATTGCGCTGGGCTGGGAGAGAAACGCAGTTCCAAGCAGGGGCGCAGGAAAAACAGGCCTCAGCAAACCTGGAGTAGGCCTCAGAGGACTAAATCATGGGCAGCTATCACGGTTTCCACACTTCTCAACCCATATATGTCAAAGACAACGTAGAAGGTCAGTAGGAAAAGTCTTTGACCTTGGTGAGAGAAGCTAGGTCCCAGCTCCAGTCCAGGCTGCAGCCTCAGGGCAGTGGCTGTTTCTGGAGCTTCCAGCCCATAGACTGAGGGGGAATCGAGTGGCTGATCAGAGAGGGATTGCAGGAATTTCTTTGCTGGTGCTGAGACAGGATTCTCTTGCTTTGCCCATGCTTGGATCTGGGTCACAGTTCTGGGTGGTGGTCCTGGGGTGAGGAGGAGTGCTGGCATGGTGCAGCTTGTAGTGGCAGTAGAAAGGGAATCCTCCTCACAGTTCCAAGGCAGAAGAGAGTGCTTGTGGTCACTCATAGACCACAGCACAGCCCAGGAAAGGAGTAAACACTTTGCCCTTGATCATAGCACCTTGGAAGAACTGAAAATTTACAGGTCCCTAGAAGTATCTCTGAAAACAGCTGCACAAAACCCTCGAAGCTTGGGACAGTACATTCTCTACACTGGAAGTAGACCCCTACCTTAACAAAGAGTTTATAACTCAGGTAATTGGCTGGGATCATGAGCAAACTTCACAAAAAAAGTCAGACCATAGAATCTTTCTTTGGTAACAAAGAAGATCAAAACATACAACCAGAAGAAGACAACAAAGTCAAAGGTCCTACATCCAAAGCCTCCAAGAAAAATATGAATCAGTCCCAGGCCATGGAAGAGCTCAAAAAAGATTTAGAGAAGCAAGTAAGAAAAGTAGAGGAAAAACTGGGAAAAGAAATGAGAGTGATGCAAGAAAATCATGAAAAACAAGTCAGCAGCTTGCTAAAGGAGACCCAAAAAAATACTGAAGAAAATAACCTTAAAAAATAGCCTAACCCAAATGGCAAAAGAGGTCCAAAAAGCCAATGAGGAGAAGAATGCCTTAAAAAGCAGAATTGGCCAAATGGAAAAGGAAGTCCAAAAGCTCACTGAAGAAAATACTTCCTTAAAAATTAGAATGGAGCAAATGGAAGCTAGTGACTTTATGAAAGATCAAGGCATTGTAAAACAAAACCAAAAGAATGAAAAAATAAAAAACAATGTAAAATATCTCATTGGAAAAACAACTGACCTAGAAAATAGATCCAAGAGAGATAATTTAAAAATTATTGGACTCTCTGAAAGCAATGATCACAAGGGAGCGGAACCAAGATAGCAGAGTAAAAGCGGTGACTTGCTTGAGCTCTCCTCCAAACCCCTCCAAATACCTATTAAAAAATGGCTCTAAACAAATTCTAAAGCAGCAGAACCCACAAAAAGACAGAGTGAAACAAATTTCCAGCCAAAGACAGCCTGGATGGTTGATCAGAAAGGGAGCAAACGTGGAGCAGGCCTCAGAGAATTGAATCTTGGGCAGCTGTGGCGGTTTCCAGACTTCTCAACCCATGAACAACAAAGACAACTTAGAAGGTCAGTGGGAAAAGTCTGTTTCTATGGTGCTGAGGGAGAAGGACAGTGGGGTTCCAGCCCCATTCTCCAGGGTGGTGGCTGCCTCCTGAGCTTCTGGCCCACAGACAGGGGGAATCGAGTGACTGATCAGAGGGGGATTGCAGGGATCTCTCTGCTGGTGTAGGATTCTCTTGCTTTGCCTGTGCTTGGATCTGGGTCACAGTTTTGGGTGGCGGTCCTGGGGGGAGGAGGAGCACTGGCTTGGTGGAGCTTGTAGTAGCTGTGGAGAGGAAACCCTCCTCACAGTTCCAAGACAGAAAAGAGTGCTCATAGATCAGAGTACAAGCCAGGAAAGGAGTAAATACCTCACCCTTGATCATAGCACCTTGGAAGAACTGAAAATTTACAGGTCCCTAGAAGTATCTCTGAAAACAGCTGCACAAAACCCTTGAAGCTTGGGACATTACATTCTCCACACTGGAAACAGATTCCTACCTTAACAAAGAGTTTATAACTCCAATAATTGGCCGAGATCATGAGCAAGCAGCACAAAAATAGTCAGACTATATTATCTTACTTTGATGACAAAGAAGATCAAAACATACAACCAGAAAAAGACAACAAAGCCAAAGCTCCTATATCCAAAGCCTCCAAGAAAAATATGAATTGGTCCCAGGCCATGGAAGAGCTCAAAAAGGATTTTGAGAAGCAAGTAAGAGAAGTAGAGGAAAATCTGAGAGTAATGCTAAAGGAGACCCAAAAAAATACTGAAGAAAATAACACCTTAAATAACACCTTAAAAAATAGCCTAACCGAAATGACAAAAGAGGCCCAAAAAGCCAATGAGGAGAAGAATGCCTTAAAAAGCAAAAGTGGCCAAATGGAAAAGGAAGTCCAAAAGCTTACTGAAGAAAATACTTCCTTAAAAATTAGAATGGAGAAATTGGAAGCTAGTGACAATTTGAGAAATCAAGGCATTGTAACACTAATCCAAAGGAATGAAAAAATAGAAGAGAATGTGAAATATCTCATTGAAAAAACAACTGACCTGGAAAATAGATCCAGGAGAGAGAACTTAAAAATTATTGTACTGTCTGAAAGCCATGATCAAAAAAAGAGCCTAGACATCATCTTTCAAGAAATTATCAAGGAAAACTGCCCTGATATTTTAGAACCAGAGGGCAAAATAGAAATGGAAACAATCCACCTATCACCTCCTGAAAGAGATTCCCAAAGGAAAACTCCTAGGAATGTTGTAGCCAAATTCCAGAATTCCCAGGTCAAGGAGAAGATATTGCAAGCAGCCAGAAAGAAACAATTCAAGTATTGTGGAAACACAATCAGAATTACACAAGATTTAGCAACTT